ACTTTCATGGGATGGTTTCAAATGGTAGGCAGTGAAACTGTCAATTATGGACAGCAGTCTGTATCTCAGGCTCAGCTAATTATGCCCACTTAATTCAGCTCTTATGGCAATCCTCTACTTTACCTATCTCAGGCCCTCAGCAGCCAGATATAATATTCAGACCTTTTGCTTATACCACAGCTTCTGTTGTGACAGTTCTGATTTCGGAAATCTGGTTCACTTGCTTCATCCAGGCCTAGCTTAATTGTACCCTCCTCCAGGAAGACCTCTAGGATTGCTCCTTGCACTCCCCCTAGCAGTTGGCAGTTCATTTCTTCTGTGGACACACAGAGAGACATTAGAGCTGCGATGCATGAGAATGATGTGGCATCAGGCTTGGCCTGCTGTGATGGGCCCAAGTCATGCACAAGCAATGTGGGACGTAAGGTTGTCAAATGTAGGAAGGCCAGAGGATGTGCTTGCTTTGGCAGCACATATACTAAAATTGGAAGGCCAGGGCATTTCAACAAGTTAGCTCATAGCAGCCTCCCTGCTCACCCTGTAATATCGCAAGCACGCTGGCTCGGGGAAAAATGGCTTCAATGTTTTCCAAGCAGAAGTTTGAACGAAAAGTAAAATCATGTTGGTTATAATCAGTTCCCAGCTTTAAATTTGTAAGACACTACAGACAGACAGATGGCTTAGTGTGCAGTGCTAAGAATACAGCTGTAATAATGCAACTGCCTGCTCCTGGGGGATTAGCTTCCTAAGTCATAGTTCATAAGTGACACGAGGCTGAGGGGAATCAATAAGAAGGCCGCACTCAAAGAGTACAGAATCCTATTGAGACAAAACGTTAGTAGTGGAGATCTACTCCACATAAAAATAAGTACGTATGGGAGGTGATAAATATTGTAATAATCTTGACATAATTCTTCCGCAATGCATACATACACAAAACATCAGGTTGTACCCAATAAATACATACAATCATTACCGGTCATTTGAAAAAGGAACATTCTCCCGATTGTATGACCTCTCTACTAGAAACTCTTACCGCATTTTCAAACGCAGCAAATGTTTAGAACTGAGTTCTTTCCAAGTTACTGCTTCACGAGGCCAGGGATTTAGCTCAGTGGTTCTGCCACCTACCTCACAAGTGCAAGGACCCGAGTTCGATCCCTGACACCAAAAACCAAGTTACTGCTTTGTGGTACTACTTGGCCAAATATGTATAGGGGCAAAAGAGTTGTCATAGGCTTTCTGCAGCAATCACTGAGGTAATGCATCTGAGGACACAAGCCCTGTGAGCAGGAAGAGAAGGAAGACCATGACTGTTGATGTGCATCCAAACCCCAGGAACTCCAGCTCGGTCCACACCTGTTGCTGAGGCTTCTCCAGGGATGGACACATGGCTGGACCCTGTCAGTGTCAAGTGACCTTCGTTCACCTGTGTCTCCATTTCCTGGGCACAAGTTGCAAGTATCTCATCCATACTTGATCACATATCCAGGATCCATCTGGGGAAAAATGATCCATCCTCTCTCTCTTTCTCTCTCTCCTCTCTCTCCTCTCTCTCTCTCTCTCTCTCTCTCTCTCTCTCTTTCTCTTATGCAATATGGATGGGGGTTAAGTTGTATATGGGCTTGAGGTATGCTGCTTGCATTCATATGGCAGATTTTGTTCCCACCAGGTGCTTATTGTTTGCAGCTGTTTTTGTTGTTTTTCAGGTGCAGCTGCTTTCTTAGTTGTTAACTATAACAAAATATCTTGTGCTGACAATTTATAAATGATGCAAGTTCATTATTTACAGTTCTGGAGAGAGAGACTTCCGAGATCGAGAAGGCACCAAGAGATTTCCTGTCTTGTGAGGGCCTGTTTCTCACAGATGCTCATGCTATGTGTCCTCCCA